AAAGACAAATGTCAAAAATGAACATTATTAAAAAGTCCACTGCATTGAGAAGGCTGGCCTCAACCTCAATCTGATTTTTTTTGTTTTAGTCCCCTTAATTTATCGGAGTTGGCCTATTGTGTGATGGCTTGTTCATGTGCACCAAGGGATTGTAAAATTTAAATAAGTCGTGAATACAGTATTTTAAGATAATCCAGGAGATCAGTTTTCCCTACGTACTGCCCCGATTGAAAGCACTTATGCGTTTCCACTAAATAGGAAATACGTTAATAAGTTAATTAGCGTCCAAAATAAAATAAACTGTCTTAAATGAATTAAAATAAAACCAGAACGTTACTGAGCCGTTGAAAGCGCCAAATACACGTCAATCGTTTGATTTCTTTGAACGGCTTTCGTTATTAGAGCTGCAAATCATGAAATAACTTGAAAAGTTTAATGTCGAGTGCGACAAAAGCTAGCGAGAGACATCACTTGAGGAACAGCTCTTAATTCAACTTGCACCCCACGCCGATTCAATACCTTATAACTTATTCAGCACATTTGGCTATTTGGCAGGTGGATTTGAGTTGAAACAATGAAAAGTGCACGACAGCTGCGAGGAATGTCCAGCAACAATAAATTCATAAAGCTGAATTACAGCAATGCCGTTTAGTGCGTCCGGAGTCTATGTTATGTGGTGAAGGAGTTTATTCCACTAAGGACATTCACACATTAAAGGAACAACGGAGGTAACGGTTTTTAATTTGAATAATGGCCATTGTTATTTCATTACATTTTTAACTTTGGGTAAAAATTTCACCCTCGCGAAACGCTCTGTTACCAAGTTACGGTCAATTAGCTTATATATTTCAAGGCCGAGGAACTGATATCAAAGTAGGAGGTAAATCGGCGATAATTCTTGTATTAGAGGTTCATATATAAATGCACCTTTCATCAAAGTGGGCCTGCATGTCAGTGAAAATATCTGTCCAGCAAAAATTAGGATGCAATGATATAATTCCCGAGGCACGAATAATGAAATACGTTTGACATATACTGATCAAATCCAGTTATAAACATCAACTGTCTTTATTCCTTCCTCGATCTTTCCTTTGCAGATCTGCTCAAGTTTCTGGCCAAAAAAAGTTATGTTCTATTTGCACACGAGTCTTTATTGTGTTCACTTAGTGGTGAAGACTGCACAAACACTGAATTATGTTGCACAACTGAGTATTTGACAAATCTTTTTACAGTCTGAATATTTATGAACAATTTCCCAGTTGTTTTTATTTTTAAACAACTAGTTTGATTGTTGGTTAGCTGTTGTTAGTCTTTACTTGTGATCTATCTATCTTCTTTTTTCCTTCCATATATATTTTTTTCTTTTCCTAATTAAGATATAGATGCTAACCCCGTTTTAGGCCCTTAGTAACGTTAAATCCTCGAGTAAAGAGCGAAACGCCTTATTTTAATTAGCTCCTCGCTGCTTGCGCTTGCAGTAATTCCGCGCGGGTTTCTTTCGTAAGAAGAGGACTACAGTGAAGAGTAGGGTGCGATGCTTAGTTAGTTTTAGTTTATCGGTAGTTTCAGGTTGCTTGCGAGCACTTTGCCTTAGCAGATTGTCGGCAAACATTTGTACTCATGGTTGAGGTGAGATCCAGTACAATATCGTGCTAAAAACGTCCACCTGATGTCTTTGGTCATGGCTCAAACGGCTACAAGCCTAAGTAGACCTATATTGCCTTTCTTCTCTTATTTTTGATAATATACTCCGTGGGGCTTGGATTTTAAGTCAAAATGGCTTTCCATAGCTGATAAGGTCGATCTTGAAATGCTTCAATATACTAATTTTAATATTCTAAAAAGATATATAGGCTCAGTTTTACGTACTTAATTTGTTTTCCAAATGGAGGCTGGAAGAAGAACGCTGTCGATTCATTGACCCCTAAGGCCCCATTAACGGGGCGGGGGGAGGGGGTGGGGAGGTATTCCATATTCGTTTAACGTAATTTCTTTTGCCTAAATATCCCGTATCCAGTATCCCGTATCCCGTTAATGGGATCATTTTAGCGTCCGCCATTTTAGCGTCCGGCAAAACTGAGTTTCATTGCAAAATTAGAGACTCTGTTCAGTCAAGAGCTAAAGCCTTCCCCAAATGTCAATGTCGGTAGTGAGAAGTTGTTGCTTTCTGTTACTCCTCGTGATGTCTAGACAGGTTAACGTACTGCTGAAGATCATTTTTCTCAGTCTAGGTTCCAGACCTTTAATATTTACGTATACGATATATATTTTAAAAAAAAATTGTAACGGTCACTTTTGAAGATACATGTTGACTAGCATACGAAACGTCAATTTCGGTATTAAAATGCGTTGGAATACAATGTTTACACCGCTGTTTGTGTTATATTCTCAACTTGTTTTAGGTGGTATGGTACCCTAAAATATGGCGATGTTCATGAAAAATTCAATTTCTTGGAAATACAAGACTTAAGACCCTTGAGGACTTGTCAANAAACATTTTGAAACGATCTTGCCGAATTTCCTTCCAGATGAGTGTGAAATTTAAGGAAAGTACACAGTGGCATAAGTTTTTTCACGTGGCAACGGCCATAGCAACGACTGTTTGCTATAAGAACGTGACCAAAAATATAGATTATTTTTAACTTATATGAACGAAACTATTTAGAAAAAACTTTTTAAGACCTGCAACTTTTGGTATAATTATTTGTGAAAAGCTTTGCCTCAAATTGCCATCACAGGCTCATTCATTTCCCTTATGAAAAGGAATATTTCCCACAACTGCGGTAATTTTTTACAAAAAAGAACAACCATTGCATCCCTTCCCCCGAAATCCAATCTGCACCCCCCACCCCGCTATATGTGGCTCGTTAAACGCTTAATACTTCGTGTAAGAAACTTAAAGTGCATTTTTCTCAAAAGTTTACTTTTGTATCGACTGACTTCGCGCCAACATTTCT